CTCTCTCTCTCTCTCTCTCTCTCTCTCGCTCTCTCTCTCGTTCTCCCTTTCATCCCGGAATCGATTCCGGGCGATCTCCGGGCGCAAGTTCCTTGCCGAATGACCACGCGAGGTACTCGCACTGCGCCGCGGTGGCCGCTCTCGCCCAGCATCCTCCGAGATGAGCAGGAGCTACCTAAAAGAAGGTCGTCGCTCTGCGGGCGTCTTACGGACACATACACACGCACGCACGCGCGCCTTCACATTCACTCGCGCACTCACTCACTCACTCACGCAAGCACGCACACGCGTCCTCGCATTCGCCCGTCCACGCGCACACGTAATTACATATAAATTCTTGTGTCTATATAATTAATATTTATTTACATGCTATATACGCGTATCTCATATATAAGACTCGACATAGTAGCTGACTTTGTTTGTACTTGGAGCCGGGACTCCGACGGGCCCCGACATGAAACTTTACATATTTACAGGAGCTTCTTCCACTTATATAAGAGAGATCCGACGGACGACGCGCTATCTCGCTCCGTTGCGTGAGACGACCGTGCGACCGATCAGGATCGGCCCACGGTCGACGCGTCCGGGTCTTGAGGGGATAAAACCGCGCGCGCGTCGGGATTTTTCGTGTGTCGTCAGTGATCGATCGTGCTCTCTTACCTAATTAAAAAAGGAGGCCCGCGAGAAAGAGAAGAGGAGCGTTCAGTTCGCTTGTTGTTGTTGCTGCTGCTGCTGCTGCTGCTGCTGCTGTGTTGTCGTCGTCGTCGCTTTATTCCGTTGCGCCTCCCTTCGCGTTTTTTCTCGTCTTTTTTTCGGTTTTTCTTTTTCTTTTCTCTTTTTTATTATTATTACATTACAACGGGGGAGTGGTGGGCTGCGTCCTGAGCTGCTAGTCACTCGCGATTCATGTGTACTCCGATCGCCAGCCGCTCTGTAAGCAGACAAAGGTTTTACCGCTCTTTAGGACGATCCACTTGCTGGTCGCGCGAGCGAAGGCGACATTTGTTTTTCATTCGATTTCGTCGATCACGCTCGATCTAGAGTTCCTCCAGTCGGAACTAGGGCAGAGCATGACGGTTCTCTGATTGGTCTGCATCCTGTCCGCCATTTTTAGGGATGACGTGAGTTGAGAGAGGAGCTCCAAGACCGAAATGACGAAGCACGCTGCAGCTTTCTTCTCCCTCACTCTCTCACTCACACTTCTTCCCTATATATGGCGAACGATGTTCTGACTCCAACTTGAGGAACTCTAATCTGCATTCTGTCCGCCATTTTTAGGGATGACTTCGAGTGGAAGTGAGAAAGAAGCTCCAAAACCGAAATGACGAAGCATGCTGCAACTTTTTCCTCACTTACCTGGTTACTGGCTAGAAAGAAGTCGTTCTTTCTGCTTAGCGATGCGAGGGTAGAAATTGATCGCGTTTCCCGTAAAGTTGCACGAATCGCGCGAAAACCAAGGGCACGCGTCGGGATCTCGCGTCGGATTACCGTCGAGTTTGGCTTGAGTATACGGCGAGTCAGCAAAGTCCGCGCGGTATAGGGAAATCATCCTGATCGATTATCGGCGGCTCGCGGCAATGGTGGTGATCCTTTGGTCAATCGCCGGCGGTGGAGGTAACGATCATCGCGCACTTACCATTGCGTTCGTCGTCAGCTGCAGACCCTGAAGGCTCGGCATGTGATGAGAATGGGAATGCGAATGTGAGTGCGGGTGGATGGGGGGCGGCGCCGGTGGCGCAAATCCTTGATGAAGACCTCCGGCCACGCCGACACCCGTGTGATACATGTAATGCTGCATCGCCGGATGCATCGTGTGATGATGCTGCGACGTACCTGCAACGATAATGAGAGACGCGCGCTCTTTTAATCTCCGCGAGTTTTGCGAGACATATTCTCTCTCTCTCTCTCTCTCTCTCTCTCTCTCTCTCTCTCTCT